CGGTTTTGCTTCTCTTCACAGCTTCGACATGTCTGTGATATTACACACGGTGCTCCTATCGGCGCTGCTTGCCGGTGTTCATGGGTAAGTACCCCATAATGTAGAAACGTGGAGAGCGAATATTGGGTTCTGTTTACTAGAAGTTTCATTAATTCTCCCTACACATCCTTCACTTTTGCTCCCATCTCTTCCCTGTTCTTTACTTATTCACTTATTCACTTACTTTTTACCTTTTTTTTTTACTTTGGGTTCTTTGGTTAAATGTTGGGTTCTGTTAACCAGAGGTCGTTCTCCAAACATATCATTCACCTTTGCTCCCATCTCTTCCCCGTCCTTTACTTATTTATTTATTTACTTTTTCACTTATTCACTTATTTACTTATTTACCTTACTAAAGTAATCTTTCCCTATAACGCCTTGTACTTAAGTCAGAGAACGGTCGACGCCAAGCTCCACCCCCTCCCCCCCCCCCCCCCACACACACACACACCCCATCCTTTCAAATGTGTTATATGGCATTCTCATTCCAAGAGATGACTTTTAACTTACTGTTGCTGCTAACATAGATCTAACAAGCCACCTAATTTCTTTTTAACTATTTACAATGAGACATCGTTACGGAGAATAAAGCGCAAAACACTCGAATATTAGTTGTCAAAGATGACCTTCAGCTTTGAAATATTTTGATCTTTGAACTGTAGTCCACTGCTTGTTGCAGACATTGGTCGAAAACAATATTTCTAAGGTAATCGTTTGCAACGTCTGCAAACAATCATTTGTTTGATATAGAAATCTGACCATCACGAGTGCAATGATTGTAACTGATTACAAATATTTGAATTTCATGACATTTGCATCGTGAAAAGTCCAAACGAGACACAGGATTTTGTTTCAGTATTTATCATTTTCATGAGTCCTCCCTGGCTCAGACTTTGTTTTTGCAATTGGCATCCAGACATTGTACCATTCTCTTATCTAATACCTCTGAACCACTCACTTCTTCAAAAATTGTGAATTCAGATTTTTTGTGTAGATTTTGTTGTCCCCGTTATGAATGGAAGTCTAATCAAATATAACATTTTAATAACGATTTTATTAGTTATTTCATTCTTTACGTTATCTGTCTGTCATTGTATGTTTACAGTTAGAATATTCTTGTCCTCTCGGCAACATAATGCCCTTAGGAATAGAATCGTGTTGTGTTTTGACAGTCCTATATTTTGATCCCAACTCACTCGAGAGGGCACGTCAAATATGACTTCGTAACTCCGGATTACGTTGTGCAGCTTTACTCATTGGACCTCACTTTCGTCTATTCAACCTGGCCCTTTCCCCTTGTTCTTTTATTTTAGATCTGATTAATTAATTTATTGATAGATTGATTTATCAACTTTAAAAAAAATAAAATTTTAAGAAACAAAAAAAAGGCTCATTTATTATTTCCAAATGTTCTTCGTGTTTGTTCTAATATCTATAATATACATGATTTCCCTATAGTTCACACACTTCGACTTATTTCGTTTTGTTTTATTTGTTCCTTTTTTCTTCTCAGCGGCTCCTACTTTATGACCGCCCCTCGCTCCATGTTCAAGGGCGGCAGCTTTAACCTGACTGTGGATATCTTTAACGAGGTGACCACGGAGGTGGAGGTGGCGGTCGAGAGCAAGATCTACAACAAGAGGATCAACCGATGGGAGACCAAGGTCATGACCTCCGCCAACGGAACCTTCGGCATGAGTAAGTCTTTTCTTTAGTAAAGTGTTTTACGGCGCTCGCAACTACATAAGGTCATATGAGCGCGCGGGACACACCTAATACTTT